GATCTCCAGAGGTCCCTTCCAACCCTTATCAGTCTGGGATTCTGTGATTCAAGAAGTGAATAAGGTGTTCCTGTGACTGTCTCTTGTGGCTGAATGAAAATATAAAGAATGAGGGTAGTAGAGTATTCATATAAATGTCCTTGGTATTTTCATATTTTTGCATGCAGTCTTTTTCATTCTTTCTGTACAAGGAGGAAACTCTTACAGTTGTAATGTAGTGTAGAAGTTTCACATGCATGGTGTGGAATGGCCATGTTTGTGTAATGAACATTTTTCTAGTACTCCTGAGTAAATCAAGGAGGGAAGGTAAACTGTCCAAGGTACCAAATATTCCTTCTAGCTATTCTGGTGTACGTTTGCAGGAACAAGTCAAAGGAGCTCCTCTGTACTTGCATATGTTTAACTGGCAGCAAATTTGGCTCAAGAGTTCCCAAACCTTAATCTACATCCCCACCCAAAGGTGGAAAGCTCCGGCTGATTGTGGTGAGCTTTGGAGCATGCATGGCAGCACCCCCCCCCGGTTACCTGACATGTCCTCTGCAAGGACCATTCCCTTTAGTTAGTTACGCTGTTCAAAGAATGTCTTTAAATACATGCGAAGTATTTAATGAGAAGTAAATCTAGTCAGATTGGTATTAAATTTGGTTTCCTTGTCTGTAGGTTTGTTTTGGGGAGGTTTTTTGTGTTTAGGAGGAGGCCTGGATCAGGCACCTGCGTTGGGATTCTCTCTTCTGCTACTTTCCACTTGTTCCTTGCCTGCTTTTATCTACTTAGCCAGGAGACTCCCCTGTGCGAGCAACAGCTCTTCTGTATGTCTGTGCAACGTTTGGTACAATATGAGTTACAACCTATTGCATTAAGAATAATAAGAAGAATATATTTCCTTTTTAGAGCCTAAATTACTAGAAGGCAAAGGTAACAATATGGAACCACTGCATTTGACTCTCCTGCCTTATCTGGTTTGGATGAGGTTTCAAAGTGAAAGTGGAAATGAGCAGCTGATGTGACTGAGACTTTTAATTTTTCACTCCTTCCCTCCACCCAGCACTTACATTTAGATGTAGCTCAGATTGAAACTGTGTGAATGCTACAGAATGGAAAGAAGTTTGATTCCTCCAGAGACAGAAACAAGCCTTTCAGGTTCAAGATTGGCAGACAAGAAGTCATTAAAGGATTTGAAGAAGGTGTTACACAGGTACAAAGAAATGATTCTGGCTGAACTTCAGGCGGGCTGAAGGGGGGGTGAGCACAGCAATGTCTGGTGCAATGGTAACAAGACCAAGTGGAAATCACTGTGTAGGATACGGAGTGGTTTTCTGAAAGGGTGGTCCATTCGAACACTGTATTTCCAGTAGTCCTCCTCTGTCCATCCAGGGATACTCCCTGTTCACGAGGCTTTCCACGGGCCATGTGTTTGGGAGGGGAGAGGTGCAGTCCCCCAGTGTGCCCGAGCCCTGTCCCTTTCCCGTGGGCAGCTCCACAGATAGATGGCAGTGGCCTCTCAAATGTTGCAGGTGGCAGTGTTTGATGGAGTGGCCTCTATTCAGCTACTCCATAAAAGTCCAAGCTGCCGTTTTTTGATGACATCCATGACCGAGCTACAGATTTTGACCCTTACTGAATAAGGTACCAAACTGCACTGTTAAATTTTTATGACTTCAGGCTCCCAGCTACAAAACTTAACATTCAGCAACCAGCCCTATGCCAAGAAAAAAGGAAACTGCCCTCCCCTACTTACAGATGGAGTGCCAAGACAGTAAATCCCTAAAAGAGCCACACGATGCAATTCATTGCCAACTCTTGCATTTTGTCTGCAGTGTTGCGAGGGCCCACTATGTGGGGGGTGCGATCAGGCTGCTCAAGTGCAAGAGTGAATGAGATCAGGGTGCAAAGTCCTTGTGACTCCTCATTTAGGGGGTCCTAGAGCTCAGTGTAGGAGGAAATTGCTCAAATATTATTGTAGGAACAACTATAACAGGAACAACTTCTTACACTCAAATAGAAGGGAAGAATGCAAAATGAGAAATGATCTAGTGATAAATGATGCAACCATACTTTTCCAGAAGGGAATGGAAGAGACCAAAGGTTTCCAGCCCTATGGCGAAAGCAATGCAAGCATTCCCTTCTCTCCAGCCAGAGAAGGGGAAGTCCATTTGAGGAATCCTAGATTCTGAAAAATACCCACCTTCCTCTCAGGGATTTGAGTTGGACTCTATTATTTGCTTTGCAATAATGCCTGAGGAGCTCAGGACCCCAGCGTGCTGCAGAAACCAGAAGCCAGTGCAGATGGAGGAGTGGTAACAAATGCTGTGTGAATCAGTTTATCCCTTCCTCAACCGCTCTCGCTTGCCAACTCCTGTCCCTTAATTAATAAGCGGCCGAAAGCCATTCTAGCAATCAGCGTGGCAACACGCTGCCCTCCTGCTCCTCCTAGTGGATCCCTGTCTGAGGTCAAGCTTGTGGCTGTCTCCTTCCACCTCAGGGTTTTGAGGGGTTTGGGGAGCGCGATTAACACGAGGCACTTGGGAAAAGGCAGTTCGCTATGTCTAGCAGGCAGATTTTTTCAAACCTTGGTGTAATGACTGTCAGGTGTCAGCAGCGTCTGCATTTCTCTGTTCAACTTCTGACAGTTCAGGGTTGCCCCATGCCTAAAACCCGTGCAAGACTCACCAGCTGTCTGGCTTGCAGGGACCAGCATGCCCCACGCAAACCTCTGCAGGGACCAGGGGAGGTCATCTGCATCAGTGTTTGCACCTGCCCGGCAGCAGAAAGTTGGGTGCCTGCAGCGTTAGTGTCTGAGCAATGGTTTTGAAGTCATCCCTGGAGGTGGCTGAAGAAGGAAGAATGTTGCTGAATGCTTTCTAGAAGCTGAACCTAACTGATTCAGCACTGATCTCTCATGAATACAGAGCTCTGGTCCTGTCTGTTACTGAGAGCCTTTTCCTAACGCCCGCTGATGGTGTTACATTTGCCCTGCGCTCTGCAGAAGGAACTCGCACCTCCTGCAGCTGGCTCCAGCGTAGGCAGGATGGACCCAAGTATGCGTTAGAAAGCCTCTGTATGACTCCCAGACAGGCTCTGGCAATATAAATAACTGCCAGGAGAAGCCAGAGGAGTCGGGAGACCGTCATCTGAGCTGTTTGTGGCAGCTTCAGCTTGACGCCGAAAGATTAATCCGATGGTCCCGTTTTTCCTTGATTCTGTAAATCTGCGTGATTTGTTCTTTGTCTTCCTCCTCATACTGTGTCTTCTCTTTTTCTTTCTCCAACATCCAAACCCCAGATGAGCTTAGGACAAAGAGCAAAGTTGACCTGCACACCTGAGATGGCCTATGGAGCCACGGGCCACCCTGGGGTCATCCCTCCCAATGCTACTCTCCTCTTCGATGTGGAGCTTCTCAGGTTAGAGTGAATCACTTGAGGGAGCTGGCTGGAGCCATCTGTTGATACCCATCCCTTCTTTCTCGCCTCGCCAGCAGCGGGAGAAATCTTCCCTGGCATCCCAATCTTCCCTGCTCAAGCTGTCCTGTCAATAGCGCTTGCCGCTCGGTTTCTTATGCCTTCCTTCTCTTTTTTAACTTTGTGGTGTCCGTATTTGCCTTTTATTAGAAGCTTTGCTTTGGGAAAAATGTCTACTGTTGTAACATTTTCAAGTTGTACATTTTATTTAATTTGCATGTAAGAAGAATTCACAGTGATGATTGAAAATATATATAAATA